CTAGCCTCTTCTTCAGTCATTTTCTCCAGCTTCTCTGAAGTTATTGGTGAGGAACACTGCCTTGGACTTCCTGCCATAGTTCATTAATTAAAGTAAAGCACTATTCTAATAATTAGAACTTGCCATCTCCCATAACACCTCCCATTCTACCCATTGCACCCATTACAGGGTCCTTCTCTTTTTTTAGGAATTTCTGTGACTACAACTTCTGCTGTAGTTAACAGAGAGGCTACCCCAGCAGCATCCAATAAAGCACTTCTCACAACCTTTGTTGGCTCAATAATTCCTTTTTCCACCATATTCACAAAATCTCTGACCATGGCATCATAACCAACTTCTGAGGAACTACGTAATTTTCTCAACTATCAAAGATCCTTCAACACCTGCATTTTTAGCAATGGTCATTTCAGGAATTTTGAGTGTTCTCTTAATAATTTCTATACCAATTTTTTGATCTTCATTAGCTGGAGTCAATGAGTCCAAGGCACCAATGCACCAAAGTAGGGTACAACCCCCTCCCCAGAACAATGCCTTCTTCCACAACAGCTCTTGTAGCATTAAGGGCATCTGTAACTCTGTCTTTCTTTTCATTCACTTCAATATCACTTGTCCCACTAACTGTCAGCACAGCTACTCTATCTGAAAGTTTTGCCAGCCGTTCAATTTTTCCTTTTCATATTCACTAGTTGTGACATCCAGTTGCTCAATAATTCCTTGAATTCGTTTTTCAACTTGAGCCTTGTCACCTTTTCCTTTTAAGAACATAGCATCATGTTTGAGCATCACAGTGACCTCTCCAACTTCTCCTAAGTCATGAGGCTGAATATCTTCGAGATTTAAGGTCAACTCCTCTTCTTCAAACAGTACACCACCAGTAGCAATAGTTATACCATTAAACTGGTTCTTTCTACTGTCACCAAACCTCGGAGCTTTGACTGCTACAACTTGAAGACCAACTTTTAGCCTATTCAAAATGAGTGTACTTAGAGTTTTTCCATCAACATTTTCAGCAATTATGACCAAAGGCTTATGGTGAGCATGGGCAATTTCAAGAGCAGGTACAATGGGCTGGACACTAGAAATTTTCTTTTCACTCAATAGAACATAAGAATCCTGGAATTCACATTTCTGACCTTTTGATGTATTAATAAAGTATGGAGAAATATATCCTCAAACTTTCATGCCTTCAATAATTTCTTTTTTCTTTTTTTTAGATGGAGTCTCGCTCTGTCACCCACGCTGGAGTGCAGTGGTACAATCTCAGCTCACTACAACCTCTGCCTCCTGGGTTCAAGCGATTCTCCTGCCTCAGCCTCCCAAGTAGCTGGGACTACAGGCGCATGTCACCACATCCGGCTAATTTTTTGTATTTTTAGTAGAGATGGGGTTTCACCGTGTTAGCCAGGGTGGTCTCAGTCTCCTGACCTCGTGATCTGCCCGCCTCCGCCTCCCGAAGTGCTGGGATTACAGGCGTGAGCCACCGCACCTGGCCTCGTGCCTTCAATAATGTCTAATTCATCCGTAGTGTTTTTCCATCTTTACTGTGATGAAACCCTTTCTTTTGACCTTTTTCATTGCATCAGAAATTAGGTTGCCAATTTCTTTGTCTCCATTTGCAGACATTGTAGCAACCTGAGCAGTTTCTTCAGGGGTGGTCTATCAAGCCACAAAAAGACATGAGGAAAACTTAAATGCATATTGCTAAGTGAAAGAAGCCAATCTTAAAAGGCTATATACTGTATGATTCTAACTATGTGACATTCTGGAAAATGCAAAACTATAGAGACAGTAAAAAGAACCGTACTTGCCAGGGGTTGAGGAGGAATGAGAGATAAGTAGATGGAACATGGAGAATTTTTTACAACAGTGAAACTATTGTTTATGATACTATAATGGTGGCTACATGTCCAAAGCCATAGAATATACAACATCAAGAATGAACTCTAATAAGCTATGGATTTTGGATGATAAACATGTATAAATGTAGGTTTGTTGATTGTAACAAATGTACCACTTTCTTGTAGGAGACTGATAGTTGTCTACGTATGTGTGTCGGGGGTGCAGGGTATAGACGGGAACTCTCTGTACTTTGTACTCAATTTTGCTGTGAACCTAAAAATTCTCTAAAAGGTAAATTTTATTTTGAAAAACACCATCATACACTAAAACTTTTTTGTCCTTATTTGGTAATACTTACAAATAGAATTTTATTAAAATTATATTTAAATGTAGAGTCAAAAGATATGCATGTTTTAGTGAAATATCTTCTATTATTATTACTATCATCATAATTGTTATTATTTGACTTAGAAATCCTCAGTAGACATTATGAATTTAGAGATCAGTAATGTTCATTTTGAAAAAGACATATACTTGTCTTGTTCTTTTGATGTTACTGTGGTTAAGAGTCTTGTGCTGTACTGATCTCAGTTAAAAATAGTAAAAAGAATCTCTTCAGTATTGTGGTGGACTCTGCACAGTTAATGCAACAGGAGGCAGGGTCACCTGCCCATATAGCTTTGTTTGTATCAGCCAGTCGAAATGTCAAGATGGTTCCTTATCCACTGGATAATTTCACAATCCTCCTCTTAATTTGGTTGCTTTGGACACATTCTATCCTGGAAACAAAATCTAGGTTTCATAATACTTTCGGAAATAATAGATTCATGTTCTTTTTTTCCAGCTGGTACTGGTAGAGTTTACACATTTACTCCTGCACCATAGGAACAGCTGCTTAAAAAGCTGAAGTGTGTATTTGATTCCATTACATTGGCACAATAGAAAGTCACGTAAAAGACGGAGACTCTCTCAGTTTCTCCATATTTGGAAAATTAATTCCTTTAAGTGCGTTAAAAAAATCTCTACAGGTGGTCACATTCTATGAACTTAGGACCAGAAATGACCTCATCACCTTCAGCTGGCCTAAAAGTTGTCTTTGGCTGCTGCACGCTTCACAAAATCTTGTTAATTATGATTGTTTTTCCTAGTTATAAGTCCTTCTGGATAAGTTTTTATAAAGCATTTATTTTTATCACTTACATAACTACATAAAATATTTTCATTGGTGTCAAAATGTCATGTTATTGCCAAACACATTCCATTTCAATTTCTAGAAATTATTGGAAAGTTAATACCCACACTTTAATGGCACCCTTGCTGTAGTATTAAATCATGCTTCACTGAAATTCACAAGAATCATAATTACACTGCATTTATCCGGAATAAAGCACTAGAACAGTTACTTTTTGACCGTCTTGTCCGTTAATTACTATGCATGCACTCTCTCTTTAGACAAACAATAAATGAAATTTAGTGTCTTTCTAGAACTGAGTTTTCATGAAAGTGATTGTCATATATATACTCATCATCTGCTTCTCTTTTCAGCACAGTAATATTTTAGTTCAAGAATCCGTAAGTGAATCTTTTCCCTGGCTTATAGAACTTCACCCTATTTATTTCTATTTCAAGAAAAGTAAAAAATATTTTAAAAAGTAAAATTAGGCAAGAAAGTTGTCTTGCCAGCTAGGCATTTGGTTTCTCCTTAGATTTGTTATTTAAGAAAACTCAGTCTCCCTAGACATCATTTCAAGAATATAATTGTTTAGCTGCAAAGCTATAGTTTTGGGTAGAAAATTCCCTTTGAGGGTTGCACATTGAACCCATATTTAGAGAACCTGAGAAATGAGCTTTCAGCAGTAATCACATTTACTCTTCTCCCCACAGCCTGGGGTGTCTGGAAGAACATCCTCCACCAGGAACGCTGGAGGATGACTAAAGAGCTGAGTCTGATCCAGTTTGCCAGAATAGGTCCATCACCCTGAGGCCCTTTTTTGCCCAGGTCCTGCATATTCCATGCTATGGACTGAATTACGTCCCTGTAAAATTCGTATTTTGAAGCCTTAACCCCCAATGTCATGGTATTTGGAGATGGGGCCTTTGGGAGATAATTAAGTTTAGATGAGGTCATGAGGCCATGGCCTCACGATGGGATTAGTACTGTTAAAAGAAGGGGCATCAGAGAGCTTGCTGTGTGTCTCTTTTTCTGCCATTGTGAGGACACAGGAAGAAGGCAGCCATCTGCAAGCCGGAAGGAGGGATCTAGCTCCAACCATGCTGGTGCATGAAGACTTCTGGCCTCCATAACTGTGGAAATAAATGTCTGTTGTTGAGCCACTCAGTCTATGGTATTTTGTTATTGCAGCATGAGCTGAGGATTGGAATTGGCCCCCAACCTAACAATGGTTCCACTTATGCTTTTTTGACTTTATGATGGTGCAAAAGTGAAAAGCATTCAGTAGTAACTCTAATTGGAGTGCCCATACAGTCATCCTGGTTTTTACTTTCAGTATAGTATTCAAAAAATTACATGAGATATTCCACACCTTATAAAATAGGCTTTGTGTTAGGTAGTGTTGCCCATCTGTAGGCTGATGTAAGTATTCTGAGCATGTTTCAAGAAGGTTAGGCTAAGCCATGATATTCTGTAGATTCGGTGTATTAAATGCATTTTAAACTTAAGATATTTTCAATTTATGATTAGTTTATTGTGACATAACCCCATCACAAGTCAGGGTGTATCTGTCCATCCCCCAAGGACAAGAGACTTGGAGCCTGAGCACACAGGGATGGTGCAAACTCGGATGTTGATCCAGGCAGTTCAGGAACACATGTTTTAAAATTGGAATTGTTGCCTCAATTTTCTCTTTCAGTGTGTAAATAGAACCTCCAAATAAGATTAAATTGAAGAGAAAGTATTAAAGGGCAATATTCCAGTGGAATCCATGAACAGTTTGCTTGCACTGACTTGCTAAGGAAGGAAAATTTTTAAAGTAGTCGTTATTCTTAAGAAAGTTAAATTTATAGTTTAAGTTATGGTATATTTTGTACTGGGCACTGTGCCTTCCTCATAATATTCTTATTAAATATTTGTTGATTTAAGATTTTTTTTACTTCATCACATGTATTTAGCAAAGAGTAAATTCTTATAAAAGAATTTTATCATATCCTTGTGACAAAGCATACTCCGTGCTAAATGTGGTACTAATTACTTGAGTGTGAAGGTGAAGATTTTTCCTGGCAAATTTGGAACAACGGCTTAAAAAATAGGTACTACACAGCTAAAGAGTCTTTCTTTCCAGATTCAACTCATATACCTACTATCTTGCCTTTCCCAAAGCATATATATTTAAATTCTAGAAACCACCACATTCACTTATTAAAGCCAAGCATGTGTCTAATATTTATTACACTACATTTTTACTTTTATGAAATACTGCTTGGAACAAATAGTCACCCAGCACAGAGGTCCCGAACCCCTGGACCATGGACCGGTATTCATCTGTGGCCTGTTTGTAACTGGGCTGCACAGCAGGAAGTGAGTGGCAAGTAAATGAGCATTAGTGAGATCGGCGGCGGCATTAGAGTCTCCTAAGAACCCTATGGTGAACTGCACGTGCGAGGGATCTAGGTGGTGTGCTTCTTATGAGACTCTAATTAATGCCTGATGATTTGAGGTGGAACAGTTTTATCCTGAAACTATCCCCTCTGCCAGCTGGCCATGGAAAAACTTGTCTTTCACAAAATTGGTCCTTGGTGCTAAAAAGGCTGGAGACCACTGATCTAGGGCATAGCTAGTTTTTGCCATAGCTGTGTCATAACTAGATGTGTTGAGACAAAATCTCACCTGTAGATCTGAGTTGAGCATATGAGCCTATTTCATTGTGGTAGACAATTCTGTCTGCCATGGTCCTCCAAAGATATTCACAACCTAATCCCCAGAATCTGTAAATATGATACCTTACATGGCAAAAGGGAGTTTGTATACATGATTAAGTTAAGGATCTTGATGTGGGGAGATTATCCTGGATTAACCAGGTGGGTTCAATGTCATCAGAAGGCTCCTCCTATGAGGGAGGAAGAAAGTCAGAAATAAGAGTAGGAGATATGATGTTTGAGCAGAGGAGAGAGAAAGAGACAGAGAGATTTGAGGATGATATGCTGCTGGTTTTGTTTTGAAGATGAACGAAGGGGCCCTGAGCCAAGGAATGCAGGCCACCTCTAGAAGCTGGAAAAGGCAAGGAAATGGATTCCCCCAAGAGCCTCCGGAAGGAACACAACCATGCCAACCCGTTTTAGACTTCTGATCTCCTGAACTGTAAGATAATAAATATGTGTTGTTTTAAGCCAATAAATTTGTGATAATTTGTTATAGTAGCAATAGGAGAAGAATACAGCAAATCAACACTGATTTTATTTTCTTAACATGGTGCAACTAATACCAACTTAAAAGCAATTTAAACTTTACACACTAGTTGTCAAATTCTCTGAAGAGACAAATGTAAGTGGATATAAGAGACTAACTTAATCTTCTGACATCTATGGGCACATTGAAGACTGGGAGAACTGGTAGTGTTCACGCAGTGTTTGTCCAACCCTTTAATCCAGCACCCTCTAGACCTGCACTGTCCACCCCACCTGGAGCTACTGTGCCCTGGAATTGTATCTAGAATGTAATGAGATGTGCAGGAAGTCTAAGATACACTATGGATTTTGTAAAGAAGAGTACAAAAATACCTTGATGATTTTTGCTTTGTTTTGTTTTTGAGACAGTCTTGTTCTGTCATCCAGGCTAGAGTGCAGTGACACAATGTCGGCTCACTGCAACCTCCTCCTCCTGGGTTTAAGCAATTCTCCTGCCTCAGTCTTCCGAGTAGCTGGAACTACAGGTACATGCCACCATGCCTGGCTAATTTTTGTATTTTTAGTAGAGATGGGGTTTCCCTATGTTGCCCAGGCTGGTACAAACTCCTGACCTCAAGTGATCCACCTGCCTCAGCCTCCCAAAGTGCTGGAATTACAGGTGTGAGCCACTGTGCCTGGCAATAATTTTAAAATATTGATCACATGTTGAAACGATATTAGTTTGGATATATTGGGTTAAATAAAATATATTATTAAATTTAATTTTAACTTGTTTTAACTTAATGAATGCTGCTACAAGAAGACTTACATTGCACATATAAGTCATATTTTATTTCTATTGGACAGAGTTGCTCTACACAGATGAATTCTATGTAATGATGTAATTAATATCATGTAGGTTACTTATGTCAATTGATAGATTATTGATTAATGATTAGACTGCTGCAGTTGAGAGAGCTGATGGATTTATTTATATATATATTTATGCAGTTTAAAACTAGTATCTCCATTTTTTGTAGTCATATTTTGCTAGAGTCTGACCTCTACAAATCTCAGGTTAAATTGTGCTGAGTTAAGTCAGACTTTGAAAAAACTATCTGGAGGAATGCCTAAGGAATAGTGAGAAATCCTGTTGGCAGCTCAAAGGTGGCATTTTTGGATGGTGGGAGGTAGGGTTTTCTGTGCTGGGTGAAAGTGACCTTTGTGGATATTTTGTTGCCTTTCTTTTTTTTTTTTTTTAAAGGAAGGAAAGGTAGTCCATAACTATGAAGACATTGTTACTATAAAAACCTTAATTTAGGTAATTTTTTTTTTGGTAAAATGAAAAACGTATTTTTTCCTTTTAGTGTAGGAATACTTACAGGGAAGACAGAATTAAAAAGAGGAGGCAGATTGCTTGGATAAAAATCACCCAATTGAAGCCATTAGGAAAGACCTAAACCTTGTGGGTTCATTAACACATGTGTGTCTGGTTAGGAATAGACTATGCTACCAATAGAATGATGAGGTTACAGCTTCCTAGACCATTGGCAAACTAATTTTTTTTTTTTTTTTAGGGAACAAATTTATTTTGATTTTTCTGAAAATATCAGGAACTATGAAAAACAAGGTTGATATTTGGCTGTACCAAAAGCAAAGTACAAGTAAAAATAGCATTTGAAAACCATGTTTAACCTTAGAGAAACATGTTTTAAAATACAAAGTTTAACATTCTTTTCTCTATAGAGCTTGTAAACAAGTTTTCTCAACCGCAAGACTGCAGGGTTTTTTTTTGTTTGTTTGTTTTGTTTTGTTTTTTTTAAACTGACGTAATTTTTAGAAGAAAAAACTAAAGGGGAATTAAAAAGCACTCACCTCCTACCCTGGAATCTCATCATTTATAAAATAACATGCTCAAATGTCAGTGAAAATAAACAGTTGATAAACCTGAAAACAAGTCTTTTAATGAGTTCAGGTTACAACCAGAGGATTTTGTAGCTGGGAAGGAACAGCTTGTATAACAACCGAGCCTTACCAAATACAAATAAATATAAAAGGCAACTAAAAACAAACTATAAAATCAAAATCTTTCTGTAGAGTGGCAACTTTCACAAAGTAAAAACAACTTAGTTCCACAGAGTTGCATATTCTGTAGGCATATGGTCAATTTTTTTCCATGTCCTTTTGTCATGCACTATCAAAATAAAAGAATGTCATGGAGTATGTCTGCTGAAGAAGGCACCAAAATTCTATCCTCCCTATTCCCCTAAATAATATTAATAAATCTCTTATCAATCTTTTCAAGGTAACTTGAACACCATTAAGAATTAACATTCTAAATATGTAAAGCTATAGAAGGAAGGTCCTGCCTATTCTCTTTGCCCCTCTCAAATCATTCTAGTCTGGTTTACCAAACAGAACTGCTAGCTACGAGGATAAAAATATATTCCCATGTTCACTAGCCATTAAATAAACATAGCCACTTGTGCAGGAAGCCTAACATTTTTACTACTTCCTAACTTTTTAAAACTTAAGGATAAGCCCATTTCCACAAGCTAATTTTACAGCTCCTTAATATTCTTATTCTGGACAGTTTACTTTGCAGACTTTGTTGGTGTCTGCCTTTTTCAATTATTTTACCCAAAAAATAGGCCATGAAAAAACTTTCAAATTCAGGAAACCCCTGCAGGGAACCCTTATGGTGTGTGAGTGTGAGCACTAAGTTGAAGAATACTCTTATTTCACAGAAATATAGGACTGTCAGACAAGAGCTGAGTTCATTCTCTTCTTTCGGAGACAAAATTTCAAGCTGAGCAGGTTTGCAGAAAGGGTTCCCCATACAGTCATATACTAGTGCTGGGAAAAGGAGAGAAAATACTACTTAATTGGGTTTTGTGGTTCCTCCAGGTGGGTTCTAGAAAGATTTGAGAGTTGTACTCTTCATTTTCAAGTCCAAGTGGCTGCAGAAACATTTCAAGAATCCCCCGGCAAGGTAGCAAATCAGTTTCCTTTTAGATCTAAGACTCTTGTCACTTTAAGAAAAAAATTTTTCCCAGAACCTTTCAGAGACTTGTTCATTTGTTCATGTGATGAAAATCATCTGCTAAATAGGCTAGTTTCTGTAGCCATTTTTCATTTCCAAAGCACTCAGCAAAAGCTGGCTGTTTTCTTGTAAGTACTTGGCAATTCACCTTTCAACTCAAATGTCCTGTAGAGAACTCTTCCTCTGATAAGTCACTGGATGTCTGTATGGTGCAGGAGGTTTATGTGCTGTTTGTCCAGGTTTTTGTTTTGAGTGTTTTAATTTTTTTAACATTTTTGCATAAATAGGTCTTTGATACAGGTAACCAGTTTTGTAGCATTATTCAGAACGTCACTGTATCTTCAAGTTTTTTGATATCAGCATCTCTCTGAAGAAAGCAGTGTGCTATAATGTCAACATCAGGATTTCTTTCTTTCTTTTTTTTTTTAATGATGCAAAATTACTTACGGAGACAACCACTGATGGGGCACCAGGAGGGTAGATAACAGACCTCTAGTTACCAAATAGGATGTCACAACATTATATATTGGCCTTTGTTTTGGTAGCCTAGAAATAGAAGAAGTTTTCTTTGAATTTCATCATTTACAAATCTTACAAATGCTACAGCATGACAAATATTTGTGAAACCTGTTGACTCATCATCCTGGATAGAGAAGTTGCTGCTTTTCAGTTAATGATGCAAAACCTTTTTAGCATCATTTGAGATATCAGACTTATTGAGAATAAAGTCTTTTATTCTCAAGACTTATTGAGAATAAAGTCTTTTAATCTCAAGACTTATTGAGAATAAAGTCTTTTATTCTCAAGACTTATTGAGAATAAAGTCTTTTATTCTCAAGACTTATTGAGAATAAAGTCTTTTCAATCTTGTACTGCATCCTGCCCCAGCATTGTAATGTTATTAGATTCTCATCAACTATGCATATTTTCCTTTCCTGAGATAAGTTCTGCTACTAGATAATTCGCTTCCTAAACCTTTTGACTAAATGTGATTTTTGAACAAAAGCCTTACTGTTTTGATAGTCCAAAAGCAATTTGAAAATAATGAATGTTCTTTCTTGTCAAGTGGCTGTGACTTATAGTTACAATTTCTAGTTTTGTAAGTTGCATGCCACAGACTATACACAATGGGATAGGACAGCTTGGACTGAGTTCATATAAAACCCTTGAGGACTAACTTTCATTATAAAGACAGAATTTCTTTGTCTCCCTTGTTGCACTAGAATACTGAAGTATACTCAGAAGACCAAAATTCTTCATCACCAACCTTTTCAGAAATGTCTGTAGCTCTGTGCCTAAAATGGCTCTCTTCTTTCTCACATCTTGCCTTCCCAAATTGCAGCACTGAACTGTCAGCTTTGTTACACACAAATGTTAATAAAATATAAAAACAGACATAGCCAAACAAGAAAATCACAACAGTACAAAAACTTCACCAAACCATTCACTTCTAAACTACATGTTTCACATTCTTGCAATGTTTACAACAAACTGGCAGGGGGACAGCTGAGCTGTGGCATGTAAAAACTCCTTCCTTCGAATGAAAACTCCCCTCTGATTTTCTACTTTATGGTCAGTTCACTACAGTAAGTCAGCTGGCACTGCATAAGAGGAGCCTGGGAGAGGCCAGCATCCCCCTCCCCTCCCATCTTCCCCTCTTTGCAATAGTGTGGCACACGGGTCTGCCTCTACATAATTCCATAAGGGCTGAAAGATCCCTAACAAAACGATTAACAGGGCTGTGCAATCATTGTTCACTACTGTGAGAACAGCATAATGCAGCACACAAATAAAAAACTGTTTTTAGTCACAATTCAAGGTGGAACCCCAGCAACATCTCATAGAGCCCCAGTTGAGAAACCCACCTCCAGCACCAAATGGCCTCCTATGAGAGATCATTTTCATTTGATTTGGACCCTTCTGTGGCTTGACTTGCAAGTTCAGGTTTGGCTCCTCCCTCATTTACCACCTGCGGATTAGACGGTTTCGTCTGCCCCAGCACCTCAGTATTCTCTGGTACCTGCTGGTTATTTTTCCCTTCTGCTGTGTTGTTTCGATCTGATTTGTCAGCAGCTTCCAGTTTACCTTCTTTCCCATTTCCCTGCTCTGAGTTAAGCTGTGATGGATCCTTAGAGCTCTTTATCATCTCCTGGAGACTGAATTTCTTTTTCTTTCTTTCTTTTTTTTTTTTTTTGAATGCTCTGTTGCCAGGCTGGAGTGCAATGGCACCATCTCCCACCTCAGCTCACTGCAACCTAAGCCCCCCGGGTTCAAACAATTCTCCTGCCTCAGCCTCCTCCCAAGTAGCTAAGACTACAGGCCCACACCACCATGCCCAGCTCATTTTTTAATTTTTAGTGGAGATGGGGTTTCACCGTGTTGGCCAGCATGGTCTTGATCTCTTGTCCTCGTGATCTGCCCACGTCCTTGGCCTCCCAAAGTGTTGGGATTACAGGCATGAGCCACTGCGCCCAACCGGAAATTGTATTTTCTAAACATGTAATCTTTCACGACACTCAGGCAACAGACAGCTTTGATGATTTCTACTACCACCATGTACTGTGGATTGGTGAGATCCAGTTTATTTTCTGAATTGAGGGTACACACTATTCCTCCCAATTCTTTGATAACTTCTCTATTCATGTGACTGTGTCCGGAGTTGGTTCCTTCTGGTGGGTTCGTGATCTCACTGACTTCAAGAATGAAGCCACGGGCCTTCCCGGTGAGTGTTACAGCCCTTAAAGGTGGCATGGACCCAAAGAGTGAGCAGCAGCAAGATTTTATTGTGAAGAGTGAAAGAACAAAGCTTCCACAGCATGTGAGGGGACCAAGTGGGTTGCCACTGCTGGCTGGGGTCGCCAACTTTTATTCCCTTATTTGTCCCCTCCCATGTCCTGTTTCTGTCCTATCAGAATGCCCTTTTCTCAATCCTCACAATGATTGGTTACTTTTAGAATCCTGCTGACTGGTCCATTTTACACACCTCTTGCTAGCTACAGAGCATTGATTGGTGCATTTTTACAGAGTGTTGATTGGTTCATTTTACAAACCTCTTGCTAGCTACAGAGCGCTGATTGGTGCATTTTACAATCCCCTTGTAAGAACAACTAGTTCTCCAAGTCCCCACTGGCCCCAGGAAGTCTGGCTGGGTTCAACTCTCATGACTGCTATTTCGAGATTTGTACACAATCTGAAACGTCTCTTTGCTTGGAGCTTTAAACTAGGGTTCCAAAAATGTTTCTGCATATTTTTTCATATCCTCTAAAAAAGCCTTGCATGTGCCTGAGATGGGTAACATTCGTAGAATAACTTGAGTCGTCTTGGTTTTGTACACATCCTGGAGAATATGATGCACCAATTTATCAGGTTCTATCCCGAGTGTCCTGATGAAGACAATGTTATTTGCTCCACTTTCCACTAACTGGAATCTTCTTAGGCTTATCTCTGTAGATGCCTTCATGTCACCAACTTCTTTCTTCAAGGCAGCCTCCACATCATCATCTTCTCCCTCACTTCCAGGGGGCTTCTGATCCTTGTCTGTAAACTTTTCCAGCCTATACGTGTTGTCGCCATATTCGTTGAGTAGGGTGTAGGCCTCCTCTACACACTTGGGCTGGTTCATGTTGCAGGTGATGAGGATGCCCCATAACCTGGGCTATAGCTGACTGGGTCCGCCAGAGTCGCAGCGCGGAGCCCACTTGGCCAGCACATATTGAGCCTTGCCTCTGCGCTTCCCGCCGCCAGGCTGAGGAGGCTGCTGGGCGGCAACCGCCATGATGTGTGCAAGCTGAGAGGAAAGAGAAACGTTTTTCCACAGCTGTTGGAGTCCTCACCTCCCGGCGAACTTCTACACGGTTTAGGGGTGTGAATAGAAGTACGATGGCTTCAACATTTGGGATACATATGCCTTTTTACCTGCAGACCATGAGTAGTTTTTAATCACTTAAGTGTTTTTGTCTTCTCACAAAGGTTTCATGGACACCTCTTTCTCTTTCCGAAGAAACAAATTTCTTTTGAAATCCTGTTAGTGTTTCGTGAAGGCATCTAGCCAGTGCAGCTTCCTAGAAGGAAACTTCCTTCTTAGGAAACTAAACAAGATCCGAAAGCAATTATGCTTTGCATGGCGATCACTTAGAGTTCAGTGTGGAAAAAAAAACATATATGTGTATATTAGGCATGTGTGTGTGTGTGTATATATATATTATGCAAAAGCAAAGTGATGTGTGTTTGGTAAAAGACAAAACATTTGCCTTCTGGGCACTCTATACCATTTTGGGAATGCTAAATATCACCTAGGACGTGAGGCTCATGGTTTGACACTCAGCATGAAAAAATATATATTAAGAAAATGTGTTCTGGGCATAGTGGTTTGCACCTGTAATCCCAGTACTTTGGGAGGTTGAGGTGGGTGAGGCTAGAGGCGAGCAGTTCGAGACCAGCCTGGCCAACATGGCAAAACCCTGTCTCTACTAAAAGTGCAAAAATGAGCTGGGTGTGGTAGTGCATGCCTGCAATCCCAGCTACTTGGGAGGCTGAGGTAGGAGTATTACTTGAGCCCAGGAGACAGAAGGTTGCAGTGAGCTGACATTGAGCCACTGCACTCCAGCCTGGGAGATAGAGCAAGACTTTGTCTCCAAGAAAAAAAAAAAGAAAGAAAGAAAAAAGGAAAAGGAAAAGAAAAACAGAAAGTTTGTACAAACTTTATAATTTCAATAAGTAAATAAGTGTCATAAATGATTATTAGTGGAAGGATTTCTCTTTAAATTACTTGGATCATCCCTCCCCCAATCCATCACCTGTTTTTTACTTTATTTTGTAGAGGCTGCCACACTCATCTAGGGGCTGCGTCTACTAATTGATGTAAGTATTGACCACTTATGGGGTTTTAGTGAAATAGTAACCTCTGAAAAGTTTCCCCACTTCCTGAAAAATCCATGTACATTTATCATTTTTATATGTGTATATATATATAGAAAGGTTATCAGGGCCAGGTGGATCGCTTGAGCCCAGGAATTTGAGACCAGCCTGGGTAACATGGCAAAACTCCGTCTCTACAAAAAAACACAAAAAAATTAGCCGGGTGTGGTGGTGCGTGCCTGTAGTCCCAGCTACTCGGGAGGTGAGGTGGGAGGATTGATTGAGTGAGCCATGGTCACACCACTGCACTTCAGCCTGGGAGACAGAGTGAGACCCTGTCTCAAAAAAAAAAAAAAAAAAAAAAAAGAAAAGAAAAAGGAAAAAGAGAAAAGTTATCAGAAAGTAGAGAAAACTTTTGAAAGAGCGCTTGGATAAGATGGAAGTCAGCTGCTATTAGAGGCTAATATCCTAACTGGACTTCCATTGGCAAATATCCTGTTTTTTTCCCAGTGGGCAGTAGAATGTATATTTCTTGGCTTTGCAAGAATACAAAAATATCCCATTCATTAACTTAGGTTTCATGCTTCAAATAAACAATTGCCCTGATTTCTAAGATAAGATACAGTTAGCTATGAATGCATATAGGCAGAATCTGGTGCATATGTTTATCTCAAATCCAGGGCTGTTTTTATGTTTTACAGACCATGCCCTGCAAGTTTAAGTGTTCTCGGGTAAAGTTGTCAAGGCAGGAGGCTGAGTGAGGACACACCAGCTTTACCTGCCTTGGGGCACTCCTGGGATTGATTGGTTTCCCCAGAGCCATAAAACTTTTTATTATTCTTCTGCGTGTATCAGGCCATGGAACTGTGTGGCCTTCTGGGATTTCTGCTGCTTGTAAAATGGCACAACATTTTTGTTGGCTGAAGTGCAGGGTGAGAATTGCTCATCAGCCTTGCAGAGCAACTGGAGACCTCTTTTAGGGTCATTGGTTAACCTGCACCAGAGGGCAATTAATGAGTCAATGAAGGAAATGCTAACATTAAATTTAAATGTGTGAAGAAGGATTCCTCCAAGCATCAGATGAGCTAGATGGGGTAGGAACATTGAGAGTGAAAATCTGGGAAATAACCAAGTGCTTTGTTCTTTTCTACGGCATGCAGAACTCATTACTGTTGATGGAAGCAAAAACAACAAGGCTGAGTGCCTTCAATAGGTCAGAGGTTAGACACGCTCTGGCTCAACTTTACTGGCCAGTCTTCATTAGGTGAGCAAAGAAGCCTCTAAAGAGAAGAAGTTTGTTTGCCCTACTAGAAGAGCAGTCATTGCTTTTATAAATAATCAATACCACATATCTTTACATATAGTTTCATCATACTTAAAATATTTCAGCTTCTTCGTGGTATAGAAGTTACAGATGGATTAAAACCAAATGCTTAAAATTCACCCCCCCAGAGAATATGGAATTGGTCTTAGAAAATGGTAGTCTTTAAGATGAGAGGTAAGTCAGGTACTAGATATCTCTTAATGGAAAGTCCTACTGAATTCTTCTGATCTAAATGAGTATAATTGAGCCAGTTGGAGTAGCAAAAATAATTTCAGGTGGTATAATGCAGCAATTATAAAGCAGGCCTTGGAACTGGCAGACCAGGTGCCAAATCCCTACTAATTTCAGTGTTACTTGACAGAGTAGAATTACAGTATATAGTTTAACAAAATAGTTGTACAGAGGTTTATTCAGCTCTTTTGCTTTTAAAGAATAGTCACCAATTCCAACAATTAAAAGAATTTTAATGTATCAGTATGATATATATGTTTAGGTACACACACACACACATATATATATTTATATTTATATTTGAGAAAGATTATCTCTTAGAAATCCAAGAACAGGATTTGTAATAGAACAATTTCTGGGGGAAGTGATTTGGAACCCAACACAAGTTTGAGATCCTCAGAAGTAGAAGTCCATTAATTTCACTCCGAGCGCCCAGTGTTAATGTGAAGACACTGTGCATCTGTTGTCTTCTCTGTGCTCCTCTGTCCACCAAAGGGCTTGTGTTTTCTGTATTTCACAATTCAGGTTCTTGAAACAGGCATTCTGGCCTGTTTGAGCACAGACTTATTGGCCAGGTCACGTTTTAGCCCAATCACTAGTTTATGGATTGGCTGGTGATGGGACAGACAGGTCTTTACTCCTAATCCAATTAAAGATGTTTATTAAGAAGGCTGCCCTTCAGTAAGGGGAATGGGTGGACAACATCTTTTTGCTAGGGTATAATGAATGATATGCCTGACAGTCCTTGAGAGTTTGTTATGGGTAAGTTAGATCTGCATGCCATCTTACTTTCTGATTACACTTCTTCACAGTCATTGAAACACAAGTGGAAAGAAGATAAAGATCCCTGTTATTTGAGAGCAAATCTTCTGAATATCCATTCCATGAAACTCAGATACCTTCTCCAGGTAAGACTTAACTTTGTAAACTATTCACGGCAGAAATGTAAACATAAAGAAATTGCCCTACACACTAGGTAAGTAACAGAGTGGAGTGAATCTTAAGCAAAAGGGTCAAGTAGGCAATGAGATTTTTTTTTTGTCAGAGTCATTCTTTCTTTTCAAACTCAGAGGTATTTCATATACTAGCAAATTAAAGCCAGCTGCGCTTTGGGAGGAAGAGGATGTTATTTAGTTGGCAGATAACCTTAAATCGCACCTTTGCCCCATAGCCTATGGCCTTGGGTAAATAAGTGAGCTTCTTTGAGCTTTAATCTCCTCAATGCCAAATGTAACTATCTGCTATGGTCTGAATGTGTTCCCCAAAATTCATGTATTAAAAACTTAATCCCCAGTGCAGCAGTGCTGAAAGGTGAGTCTCTTTGGGAGGTGTTTAGGTCGTGAGGGCTCTGCCCTTATAAATAGATTAATGCTATCAAACTAGGACTTGATGGAGGAAGTTAGTCTCTCTTGACCGTCTGACGTCCCCCATATAAGGACACAGCAAAAAAGCCCTTGTCAGACACCAAATGTTGGTGCCTTGATCTTGGACTTCCCAATCCCTAGAACTGTGAGAACATAAAATTCTCTTCTTTATAAATTACCCAGTTTCAAGTATTTTGTTGTACTAGCACAAAACACACTAAGACACTATCATACAAGGTCATTGTTCTAAATATTGTATGAAAGAGGTGGGTATATGATGGATAATTATTTCATAAGTACTAAAAAAAAATGATGGTAGGGGCACCTAAGAACTCTCATTTTACAGATGTGGGAACTGGGGCTTGAGAATTATTTCCATTGTTTAAGTTCAGTCAGCTTACTTAGTCAAAACTAGAACTCAGGTCTCTTGACTTCCGAGGCCAGTGTTTTTTCAAGCTACCTCTAAGTTATTCTACAATTCCAAAAACTTGCTCTTAAGACTGTGGATGTAGCTAAAGTTATAGCTTCCAGTTTGCCTACAATGAACAAAACTATTTTTATTATTAGGCTGAATTTCTTTTTTTTTTTTTTTTTTTTTTTTTGAGACAGAGTCTCATTCTGTCACCCAGGCTGGAGTGCAGTGGCGCTATCTCAGCTCACTGCAACCTCTATCTCCTGGGTTCAAGCTATTCTCCTATCTCAGCCTCCTAGGTAGCTGGGACTATAGGCATGTGTCACAATGCCTGGCTAATTTTTCTTGTTTGTTTTTTAACTAGAGACGGGATTTCACTATGTTGGTCAGGCTGGTCTCGAACTCCTGACCTCAAGTGATCTGCCCGCCTTGGCCTCCCAAAGTGCTGGGATTACAGGTGTGAACCACCATGCCTGGCCAAAGTTCTTTTTTTAAAAAAAGAGAATATATCTGGTCCTTATTTCTGTGAAGACTGAATAACTGTTAATAGCCCAAATTACTAACTGTCCTAGAAGAATGTGTTTTAATAGTAACACAAGTCTTAAAGAAGTGAAACTCCTTAGCTAGGCATCCCTGAGCCTCCCTGGCCTCCTGCAGTCACTCTGGCCACATGGCTAACCTCCTGTAGCTCTAAGATCAAGGAGTCAATCCAAGGCTTCCAACTGGTAGTCAAGCTCCAGACTGAAAGGCCATGAAACACAAGTAACCTGAGCTCATCTGGCTGAGCGTCACAATCCAGAAATGTTTTTCATGCCATGCACTCCTCTGCCATGTGAGCAAAGCATGGCATGGTGCAGTGGAAACTTTGTGTAATCCATTCTATTTTAAATTACCAAGGAGTTGAATTTTATGAAATACTAAAGGACTAGATTCTAGAAGACCTTCATAGAATACAGATGGTTTGTTCACATAATTTTTGTCTTTGCTCAGGAGTGCAAGATTTTCCAAGCACGTCTTCCTTCTTCCACTTAGAATTCCTTCACAGACTCTTGTTGTCTATTTTGTGTAAAGCACCATAGGAAATACAAAATGATATTTTATGTGCTTTCTTTCCCCATAGAGCTTGTTTTCCAGTTGACATATGAATGGAGACTCCGTGAGGTCTGGAACTTTGTCTGTTTTATCCACTGTTGGGATCTCGTGCCCAGAACAGCATCTTGCAGAGAAAAGGCACCTAAGGAACATTTGTGGAATGCATGGATGAACATTAGTCATAACCAACAAACATTTATATGTCTAATATTTATTCCCCCCCCCTCATTTTTTTCTTTAGAGATGGGGTCTTGCTGTGCTGCTCAGGCTGGACTCAAACTCCTGGGCTAAGCTGATCTTCCCACCTTGGCCTTCCAAGTAAGTGGGATTACAGGCATGTGCCACAGTGCTTGACTGTGCCCCCTAGTGTTTTTTATTTTTTATTTTTTTAGACGGAGCCTTGCTCTGTTGCCCAGGCTGGAGTGCAATGGCACGATCACAGCTCACTGCAGACTCTGCCTCCTGGGTTCAAGTGATTCTCCTGCCTCAGCCACCTAAGTAACTGGGATTACAAGTGTGCACCACCACGCCCAGATAATTTTTGTTATTTTTAGTAGAGATGGGGTTTCACCATATTAGCTAGGCTGGTCTTGAACTCCTGACCTCAAGTGATCTGCCTACTTCAGCCTCCCAAAGTGCTGGGATTACAGATGTGAGCCACCGTGCCCAGTTTGTCCCCTAGTATTTTAAGTACAGTTGCTGCCTCATTTGATTCTCACAATTCCACGAGGTAGGAACTATTAATGTTTCCATTTTGAAGATGGGGAAACCGAGGCTTAGAAAGATTAACTTTTCCAGTGTTCCCCAGTGGTGATCCTAGGATTTGTAGCAAAGTCAGCTGGCCCTGAAATCTGTTCTCTTGGCCACTGTGTTCTGTTGCCTCTGAATACTATGCTGTCTTCTCCCTCAGAGTAAAATACACTCCTTACCTGTTTTTATAACCCAAATCAAGAGGTGTTTATAATGGCCTCACATCTGTGATATAAACAACAACGGGCTGGAAAGTTTTGGAGAGTCTAAACCAGATGTGGGATTAAAGCTGCCCTTGAGGGACAGGAAGGATTTGAACAGGTAAGAAGTAGAGCTCTTCTTCTCACTTAGACTTCTGGGAGAAGTTGGCTTGAAAATCCTCTCCATAATGTTATTATATTATAATCTCATAAAATATTATAGTTATTATCTTTCATCTTTCACCCAGCTTCATCATCTTAAACAGCTTGTGTGGGTGAGCATACAGTCTTGTTAATATTTCTATACAAGCTCAGCACCTAGCATGGCACCTTCTCTTTGATTTGATTGAAATTGAATTATCATTGATGGTAAGCTGGTTGGGCTTGGGAAAGTATTCATGCCAAACCTTGAATTCAGATAGGCTTTTCTTTTTCATGTTTTTCTCCAACCCTTCCTCTGCTTTTGAAGAAGTCCTAAAGTAAAAAAGAACACAACTCTTCATATGAAATCATTTTTGACATCTTCAGAGATTTCCTAGGTTCTGGCCCAAGCCTGACTGTTGTTCTATTCCACCTACATTTTTCCTACACTTGAGGGATTTCAAAAAATGTACTTAATGATTTGGACTTATTTTAATTTTCTCTAACTTATTTATTTTTTCTGAGGTTAAGAACATTTTGTAAATTCACAAACCAAAGATATTTTGCACACGATGAAAGAGTTTTTAAGAAACATTGGATCAGAGTTAGAATATTTCCCCGAGGAAAGGAAATACACAAAATAGTCACATGATTGATTGAAAAAACAAAGCAAGAGAACTAAAATATCCTCCTGAACTAGTTCCTAAGGTACACTCTTTTTCCATTCTGAAACAATGACTAGTCTGCACTGTTTGTTTTTTGAAGTGAAACTTTGGTGGGAAAATTTATAACCAAAATTTCGTATATTTCACACTAAGATTCTTTCTCTTGCCAAACATTTTGATGTGAACTCAGGCATTTATCTTCATATGTTTTCCAGCCTGTTCAGGTGTTCATCTCTCTTGTTCTCAATAAATACTAAATTTTCAAGTCAAGCTTCTGGAAAGGTAGTTTGGTCATGATGTTTTTGTAGAGTGATTATAATGCAAATTTTCTTTTATTTGTTTATAATAAGGAACACAAACCCCTGGTGTGAATTTCACTTTCTGAGGATCTGATATTAGTAAAGAAGTTAATTTGGAAAATGTTGGCTATCTGAAGAAGACTGACAAATCGTGAATGACCTAATTGGTAAGTTGACAAAGCTATTGAAATTGCTAAATTGACAGACCAAAATTGACAAACTGATAAACATTTTTTTGAGCAGTGACTATATGCAAAGCCAAACTTCCAATTGAAATTTGCTCTGTACTAAACAGAAGCAAAGATATGGGGGCTTGGAGTAGGCACCTAGTTAGCAATGTCATTCGTTATTCCTGCCAGTAGGTCATGGACAAGAATGAACTCTTCCCATCCTGTTCCTCTTTCTAACTTACTGTAACTGGGCAGTACTGTAACTGGACTCATCTCACACCCAGATCAGTCAGTTTTTATAACTGACGTTTTCTAATGCATTCAGCTCCATTAGCAGTGCCACCAAATATTACTTCTGATTTCTTAGGAATTAATTCAAACTTTTTTCTCCAGATTTCATCATGCTGAGAAACATTTCTCATGCCTGCAAGAGCTAGTATCTATTTCCATAAGTCAAATTCAACAATATTGATAGACTTATCTTTGCCCCAATGTCAGTAGCTGTCAGAGACTCAGGAGACTCTAAAGATGCATCAATAATAGTAGTAGACATAGCAATCGTAACAGTAGTAAAAGTAGCAGAAATGACAGTATTTACTGGATGCTTTCTACCCAGGCACTGTGCTAAGCACTTTATTTTCAGTTACGATTTCATTTCGAAGTGACATAAAGCCCACTAAATTATTTAGTTAGGGGAAATAAGGGCATTGAAAAATGTAAGAACTCAATAGAAGAAAGTAAATATAGCCAGGTATAGTGGCTCACGCCTGTAATCCCAGCACTTTGGGAGGCCAAGGCCAGTGGATCACCTGAGGTCAGGAGTTCACGACCAGCCTGGTCAACACGGCGAAACTCTGTCTCTACTAAAAATAAAAAAAGAGGCAGGAGAATTGCCTGAACCCGGTAGGCGGAGGTTGCAGTTAGCCAAGATCACACCACTGCACTACAGCCTGGGCAACAGAGTCAGACTCCATCTCAAAAATAAATAAGCCCAGAGAAAAAATGTCAATCTATTCAATTAAAAGTGGGAAATTGAAATGATAGTCAAAAACTTCCCACCCAGATGGTTTCACTGGTGAGTTCTACTAAACTTTTAAAACACAATGAATTTTCTGGCTCTACCACTTGGACTGTATAAGGTTATTTTACCTCTCTGAGCCTTGATTTCTTCTTCTATAAAATGAAATTGTAACTGAAGATAAAGATAATATATGCCACTATAGCTACTGCCTCTATAATATATATGGACATTTAAATCTTTTTCTTTGTTTTGGTCCTAGCCCTTTAAAGATGACTTCCACATTTGAAATTTCTATGCCCTTACTTATCTATTTTGTCTGCTTGTTCCGTCAGTTACAAAGAGAGGTGTGTTGAAGTCTCCCACTATGATTGTGGATAATTCTTTTTTTTTTTTTTTAGCTGTTTCAATTTTTGCATTATAGAGGTCAAACTTATACTAGTAGGTGACCAAATTTAAAATAATTATATCTTCCTGGTGAATTGAATTTTTATCATTGTGGAAATGTTCCTTTTTGTCTTTAGTAAAACTTTTTACCTGAACACCTATTTTGTGTGACGTTAGTATAGGTATAGCAGGTGTCTGAGTCAGTTTTGTCTGCTGTAACAAAGAACCATAGACTGAGTGGCCTCTAAGCAACAGAAATTTACTCTTTGTAGTTCTGGAGGCTGGAAGTCTGAGTTCAGGTGCCAGCATGGTTGGGTTGGAGTGAGGGCTCTCTTCCAGGTTACAGGGCTCTTACGAGAGAGCTGGAGAGCGCTCTTGGATCCCTTTGTAAAGGCAAACATTCTCTTCATGAGGATTCCACCTTGTGCTAAATTACCTACGAAAGACGCCACCTCCTACTACCATCACACTGGGGGCGAGGATTTCAACATATGAATTTTGCAGGGACAAATTCAGTCCGTAACACTAAGTTTTTTTGGATTTATATTTAGCATATTTTAGCTTTTTCCATCATTTTAAAAAATGATTTCACTCTTTAAAAAAAATTAAGTTGTGTGTTATGAACTGAATGTATCCCTCCAAAATTCATACCCAGAAGCCCTAACACCTTCAATGTGTCTATATTTGGAGATGGGCCTCTAAGGAAGTAATTAAGCTTAAATGAGATCATAACCACTTACCTCCTAAAAGGTAAGAGCCAAAATAAATGACCATTTGATCTCAATTTCTTTTTTTTTTCAGAATATTCTACCCCCAAATGCAAATAAATTTACACATAACCCATTAATTTTATGTGAAACAGGTGCTATTCTTATTTTGATAATTACACTAAGATAAATGGGAGCTAGAAGCAATTTTCAAAACAAAATAAGCAGGAGGGGAAACAGTTGTTTTCCCAGCCTCTGTTCCTGGTCTCTCATTTCTGACTCGAGGACTACCACCCTCTGGAGCCCTGAGAATCACCTTTCTGGAGTTTTGGGATATGCTGCATGTTCCTGACAAGCTAATTGCATGGACGAGGAAAATGGGATAAAAGTTGGGAAAATGGGGATAGGTTAAGGAAAGAAATAATAGATAAAAGCAATAAAGGAAAGAGAGATAAAGGAAGGCAGTACGGTGATAAGAGATCAGAAAGTAGTATTTTGTGGAAAGAAACATGTGATGACCCTGTATCAAGTAGGCAGAATGCTCCATTAAAAACACAATCACATGAAATTCTGTTATGAAGAGAGAGCATTTCAGGAACATCAGGCTATAGAATGATGAGAGGTACAAGTGCTTTAGCTCATTTGCTTTATTGGTTAAATTTTATTTATATATTTAGTTTTTGTCTTATTTAATATTTTAAATGGTATACAATGTGATATTTTGGTATATGTATACATTGTGAAATTATTGAATCAAACTAACATATCCATCACTTCACATAGTTATTTTATGTGTGTGTGGTGAGAACACTTATCTACTGTCTTAGCAAATTTCAAGTCTACAATACATCATGACTAACTATAATCACCATGCTGTTGAATAGATATCCAGAACTTACTCATACTATGTGACTGAAACTTTGTACCCTTTGTTTTGTGTTTGTTTTTGTTTGAGACAGGGTCTTGCTGTGTTGCCCAGTGTTGCCCAGGCTGGAGTGCAGTGGCACAATCACAGCTCACTGAAGCCTCAACCTCCTGTGCTCAAGCAATCCGCTTGCCTCAGCCTCCCGAGTAAATGGTACTACAGGCACGCATCACCATGTTTGGCTAATTTTTAATATTTTTTGTAGAGATGCGGTCTCACTATGTTGCCCAGGCTGATCTTGAACTTCTGAGTTCAAGCAATCCTCCTGCCTCAGCTTCTCAATGTGCTGGAATTACAGGTGTGAGCTACCATGCCTGGCCCTTTGACTTGGTTTGGCCCTTAAGGGTATGAGTTGGATAAGAGTCTACCTCTTCCTAGCTCTGTGGCCTTACCTTTTTTTTTTTTTTTTTTTTTGAGACACGGTCTTACTCTGTTACCCAGGCTGAAATGCAGTGGCTTGATCATCGCTCACCCCAGGCTTGAACTCCTGCGTTCAAGACATCCTCACACCTCAACCTCCAGAGTAGCTGGAACTATAGGCAAGCCACTGCCATGCCCAGCTAATTTTAAAACTTTTTTGTAGAGACAAGGACTCACTATGTTGCCTAGGCTGGTCTCCGATTCCCGGACTTAGGTGATCCTCTGCCTCAGCCTTCCGAAATGCTGGAATTACAGGGGTGAGTCACCATGCCTGGCCCTTAATGTCTTTAAACTGTCATTTTCTCATTTATTGAGTGAATATCACAATAGTACCCACCTCATAGGGTAGTTCTGGGGATTAAGTAAAATATTTAGATAAAATCTTGGCACATTGTAAGCACTCTGTAAATGTTACCTACTTCTGCTATTATCGTTGTTGTTATAATAATTATTATTATTGGCATACAGGTTGGCAATAGAAAATTATAACCCCCCCTCTAAAAAAAAAAAGAAAGAAAATTATAACCCTCATACTTAATTCAGCCCTAATTCGAAATTATAACTGAATCTAGCAGCTGCAAGTGGCAGCAGTTTAATGAAGAACTAGTTGTCATAACATTTAAATTATATCTATCCATAGCTAGTTTCTATTTGTAATATAATTGAGTTTTTTCCAAGTTTGTTTGTTACAAATGGAAAAGAGCTTTGCTGTAATCATAAGAGATTTGATTTAATAGTTCCAAAGACCACTGACTTAATTTTGGATGTTCTGACTTTAAATGTGGCTGTGTAAAGCAACCTGTGTGCTTGCCATCCTTGTTTGTTGGTTTTAAAAAGTATATTTTCTTATTATGTTGGTTAAGAAAAATTGTATTTGTTAGAATATGTTTCTTGTAGAAGTTAAACTTACCCATCAAGCCTTATGCTGTACACACCAGCACTCTAATCATTAACTTGCTGCCCACAGTTTTTCATTTGCATCTGTGACTTCACTAGAATCTTAGTGGCCTTTGTCTCTACCAGTATATTTATAACAAACTTAATTATCCTCAGAGACTTAATTGGTACATAATATTTGCCACTAAAAATACAGTTTTTAGATATAACATTATGCCTTTACAGGGTGTATTCTGAGGAAGACAAATATGTAAACATTCTTCATGTCATCAGAATGTATAATATTTTTCTGGAGTGGAAGGTTATTACTCCTATTTTCTCAAAAAGTACCAGGGGGTCAGTGACTTCTTCAAGGTCAATAGCTTCTGTCTGGAATTACCAAGACCATAACTTGAATAGTCTGTTGCAGATTCACTTTCTAGTCCATAACATTGTCGTGCAAAATTGAAATACTTATGTGACACCAAAACAAAAACAAAAACCAAACAAACCCAAAAACCAAAATCCCAAAACCCCCCAAGAAACTAACACAAAAAAACTAAACTAAAAAACCTAATTAAACCCTAAATCAGGTGGAAACACTTCAAATAATTTCTGGATGTGAGAGCTTCTCAGAAGTTAATAAAGATTCCTTGCTCTATTGGATGGAATGCTAAGAAGCTATTGTGGTTGGATTGTGAACATTTATTAGCGTCTTCATGTGAGCAGCAGTAACAGTGTGCTACCTATTAAAATTACCTATTTGCTTATTTTCCCCACCCTTTTCAGATATGAGCTTTTGACATTTCAACAAAATTAATGAGCAGCTTGTTTTGGGTAACCAATTTCTTGCAGTTGATTATTATTCCCCAGAAATTCCTCTGCGCCAAGTCTTATAGCCAAAATAATTATTTAACACAAGTACAGTCATGTGCCGCATAACGATGTTTCAGCCAACAATGACCGCATGTAAGACAATGGTCCCATAAGGTTATAATGGAACATAAATAGAAACTTGATATGTAACACTTGATATTGGCTCTGCAGAATAAGTAGGGGAATGACTGATAATTCATTTAAGGTTCTGAGACATTTGGTTTTCCGTATGAAAAATATGTATAAATTAAATATATATGTATACATATACCATCAATGTTTGTGTAAATATACTCTATGATATTTGCACAGTGACAAAATGGTCTAATGTCACATTTCTCAGAACATATCTCCATCATTAAGCAACATATGCCAGAAATAATTATGAATAGGTATAATAACTGCAAAAAGTCATGTAAAATAGATGGCGCTCCAGTGCTCAACAAATGAAGAGGATAAATGAATGGTTTATATGTAAAGGGGTAAATGAATGTCGGTAAGAAATAGCACTCTCATGCTTCCACTTGCCAGAAGTATCACCTTTGGTTGGTTGTGGGTAATGTCAATTATTGAAATAATTAAGTGAATATGGAGAAATCCAGAGACTAAAATACTGAGCAATCAATCAGTGTGTCAGTGTCTACTCTGTGTATGACAAAACCTTCTGTGCAAAGAAACGTAGATTCTATGAGAGGTGAAGGCATGTCTGAGGCACAGCTATGGTTTCCAAAGTCTTTATAGTTTGATTTTAGAAAGCAATATTTGATACAGAAATACCAGAATTTTTGAGCTGGAATAAAATAGAGGAAGTTTTTGTTTTGGTTTTTTTTTTTGAGATGGAGTCGTCTCACTCTGTCACCCAGGCTGGATGAATTGCAGTGGCGTGAACTCGGCTCACTGCAGCCTCTGAGTTCAAATGATTCTCCCGCCTCAGCCACACTAGTAGCTGGAATTACAGGCATGTGCCACCATGCAGGGCTAATTTTTTTTTTCTTTATATTTTTAGTAGAAATGGAGTTTCCCCATGTTGGCCAGGCTGGTCTTGCACTCCTGACCTTAAGTGATCCGCCCACCTAGGCCTACCGAAGTAGAGATTACAGGCATGAACCACCATGCCTGGCCTAAAATAAAGAGAAATTGTGTAATTAGAAGAGAACTTAGAGATCACCTAGCCTAATACTCATGGCTAAAAAGATAATTTAGTGAGAACTTAAAATGTAAGCTATAATTTTAACTTACATCACAGGCCCATTCCTTCTTTTATATATGTTTTATTTTCCTCATGTCATCAGAATGTATAATATTTTTCTGGAGTGGAAGGTGATTACTTTTTTCCCAAAAAGTACCAGGGGGTCAGTGACTTCTTCAAGGTCAATAGCTTCTATCTGGTGATTTGTTACACAGTAATAGATAATTAATACAACCATTAGAAATGGCTATTTAATATTGGGCTTTTAACTTGTAACATGGGGCATAATATTGTCAGATGTTTCACTTTCAAAATAAAATTTCCAAATGGTTTATTTCTTCCTTGAATTGGATGAAAAGATTGATTTCTTTTGACATATCTGACAACAATGATATAAAACTGGCATCAAGTAACTGTAAAATTCTGCTAATTAAATGCATCAACAGTAATTGCTTTTCATATGTGAAATAAAATTGTTAGAAAATAATTTTAGAATCATCTTAGTGAAAAATCATGCTTCACCATGATATGCAAATGTACCTTTTGCAGTAGCATGTGATAAATCACTTTGAGCACAGTCATCTTCGAATAATTACAAATTTTTGAAGTAGATGAGACTGCTGATTTTGCAAAATTTGCTAAGTACTGATATCTCCCTGGCTCCTTCCCCTGATGTATGGTAAATGTCATTTTCTTTCATTAAAGATTTTCAGTTGAGTTTAGACAAAATGAAACCAAAACTTAGGACTTGTTGGAAAAGGTTTGATGTTGTCACAGGATACTTACAGTCAATTACAACACATGTTCAAGAAGGCTCAACTATATTTAAAATCTAATTTATGACAAGCAGCGAAGAGAAAAAGAATGTGTTGCTTTGCTGAAGTATATTTTTTGTTTGAATACCAGCTTGTTTTAAGTGTTCTGTAGCTCTGTTAGTATGAAATATCTGTGTGTAAATTGATAACTACAAAGCTATTTTTGATAGAGTATCAGACTTTGGATAAAATCATAAATTATATAGACATCACAATCAATTTCAAATTCATTTTGGCATCATAGCTTTCTTAAGTTAGAAAGAACACTGTATTTAGCATATAATCTGTACATGCATTACCTGCATTGTGGGGATTTTAAGCATGTCCACACATTCTTTGACACCTCTCTGTCCAAAAAGTGAAGTCTACTTCTCTAGCACTTGAGTGTGAGTTGGACTTAGTGGTTCATTTCCAAGGAATAGAGTATGGAAGGGAGAAAACAATAACCACATGAAGTACATGTAGACATTTATTTCAAAAAATGAAAACAAAAATGACAAAAACCAAATTATAAATATAATTAATTGAAAATCTCACTTATGAATATACAGAACAAGAAAAATTATAGTTTATTTGTAAATGAAGATTCAAAATTTGAAAAATAAAATATTTTAAATCCGCAAGTATATTATTAGTAATACTACTAATCATGACCAATTCAGGTTTATCCCAGAATGCAAGGATGGTTCAAAATTATGTAATCAACCATAATAGGAAGAGAGGGAAACACTTGCCATCTTAATAGATGTAGGACAAGCTTTTTATAAAACTCATCCACTCAGGACTTAAAAATATAAGCAAATAGAAACTTCCTAACCTAATATAGTGGAAGTAGCTCAAAGCTGGGGTACATCACATTTAATGACTTAAAATATTCCATCTTAAAGTCGATCAAAAGA